CCTCAGGTTGGGAACCAGTGGGCAGTTTTTGAGCGGAGCAGCTTCAACAGTGAAATCTATCAGTTTAGCTTCAGAACGTTTCCTTCACTTCTTTGTTGTTTTGATCCTTTGACTCAGAAACAAAGTGCTGACTCATCGTCACTGTGTGAGAGACAGAAGGAGGAGGACAGGTAGGACAGACTTCACCTCCAGACCACGGCTGTCTTCACCAGCTCGCAGCAGCTGCTCAAACAGCCTCAGGCCGCCGCCAGAGAGTCACCACATCCCTCTGTGTGGTGAGGCGGGAAACCCCGCCAGAGCTGCTGCTGTGTCCCGCTGTGATCTGATTGCAGCTAATTGGTCTAAACTGCCTCTAATTGGCCACAAAGAGCGATTATCATGAGGTTGTTTCATCAGGTTTCCAGCTTTCTTCAGGGAGGAGACGACTTCATCCAGAACACGACGACTTCACCCTGTCATCATTACTACGACCGCTAGCTGTCCTAACCTAACCTAACTATGATGTCATAACGACCCGCTGACAGACGCCCTGCGAGCTGGTTCCTTTACAGGAGGACAGACTCTAATATCTGAAATCAATGATTGATGCATCAGGAAAAGAAAAGCTCCAATCCCTGTCTAAAGTCTGACTTTGGCTAAAACAGTCAATTAATCAATTCATTGATAACAGAAAATTAATCAGCTATTTTGACAACAATGAATAATTTCAATCCTGCTGATACTGTTTCTCAAATGTAAGAAATATTTTCTGTTTGTGGTTTTAAAACATCTTCAAACTGAATGTTTCACTTTCTGAGAAATGGAAGATTCTTTCCTTCTGACACTGCTGATCAATAATCAATGACATTAACTGTTAACCTGATCAATACTGTTTGTCTTATTCTATTTTTGACATGGACAATGACTGATGTTTTGTGCTGGAGCGGTTTCAGCTGAGCTTTGGACAGAGCCAGGCTAACAGTTTCCCTCTGCTTCCAGTCTTTATGCTAAGCTAGGCTAACCACACCTGAAAGTGAATATCCCAAAATGTTGAACTGTTCCTTTAAATGAAGCTCCAGGAAATCTGCTGTTTACTGATGCAGAGGTTGAACCTCTCACCTGGCTGCAGTGATGTACAGGTGTACTCCAGGACACGGTGACATCACTGCTGGGTGTGGCCACAGGTGCATTTACCATGATACAAATATAATCCAGCGTTCAAATAATCCGGGATCAACGTTTGAGTTTTTGCTCAAACACACACACACACACACACACACACACACACACACACACACACACACACACACACACACACACACACACACACACACACACACCGAGGCAGGCCTGTAAATACATGTTACACACCTTCAACCACACTCCGTTTCACGCTGTGATGTGGGGAGGTGTTGTTGTTTAGTGTCACAGTAAACCTGTTAAGAGGCTGTAATCACTACTCATTCATTGAGTGTGTGTGTGTGTGTGTGTGTGTGTGTGTGTGTGTGTGTGTGTGTGTGTGTGTGTGTGTGTGTGTGCAGTTTGAATCTTTCCCTGCATCTGTTCCTCCTTCATTATCTGACGCTCATTTACGCTGTCAGGGAAGAAAGGCTGCTCCATGATGTATGTGACCACATGCTGGACATTTTTGTGTGTGTGTGTGTGTGTGTGTGTGTGTGTGTGTGTCTGTGTGTGTGAGAGTGTGTGTGTGTGTGTGAGGGGGTTGAGAGGTCAATAAAGGTGACCCCCACAGAGAGCGCTGGGCCCTGGGGTCCCTGTTGGGCCTGTCACAGAGGTAATGGATGATGTTTTCACTGCAGAGCGAGGGAGCTCAGGCTGCAGGGAGATGAAGGTCTGAGCACGGAGACGACGCTTTAACTGAATCCAGAGGCTGATCAGGTCTGATCAGAGCGGCTGTGATTTTCTTAAAGTTTTAGTCTCTGAACAAAGAAACAAGAACCGGAGGAAGAAACTGACAAACTCTGAAACTGGTGAAATTTAAACTGAAAAACAAATTAGAATTTCTCGTTTTCCTGGAACTGAACCGGGACGTGAAGGTGAAGGAGCCCACAGGTTATTATCACCCAGAGTTACGTTCAGTTGCTAGGCAACATCTAGTGGACTTTAATTAAACCTGTGATTAGTTAATTTGTCCGTTAGTTTTTATTTCTTCACAAATTAATTTTTCTTGTGGAGAAAAGATGAAAAAATATTTCAGATCTCCGTTTTAGGAGTGAGACTTCCTGTATGGTCGTGGCTCTGGTGCGGGGTGGGGGTGGGGTCTCTGGGTGGCGGCAGGCGGCTGAACACGTGTTGGCGCCTGTGGGCCGCCGTGGCCTCACCATCACCCACATCTGCAGCTCTGCGGCTGTAAACAGCGGCTGATGGATGGATGGAGGTGTCCCGGTGACCTCTGACCCCTGATGGGTGGAGGGCGGGGGGGCGCGGGGTCAGCGCCAGGGCTTCCTGCTCAGTCATGTGTCCCGCTCAGCTCCGGAGGCCCATTCTTCAGCCGGCGGAGGGCCGAGCGAGGTGAAGCCCTCCTCTGTAATTGTGGCGCTGGCTTTTAAGTCGGGAACTAGTTTCTCTTCAGGAGGAAGGCGGAAGGTTTTTTTCTGTCGCTGAGGAGAAGACGTGCAAAGTCTTTCCAGCTGTATTGATGGAGTCACGTGTAATTTGTAACCCAAAGCAGCTCTTTAACGAATCGGGCCACTGTAAACAAGTGGTAGCATACACCCCCCAGGTCTCCCCCCCCCCAGGTCTGAAAGAAGGCAAATTAACATGTGAGAGTGAGAGTGAGGGAAATCACAGTAATTACATTAACGCGGATGAAACACCGTAAAATAAAACATGAAAATGTGTGAGTGTGTGTGTGTGTGTGTGTGTGTGTGTGTGTGGGTGTGTGTGTGTGTGTGTGTGTGTGTATGTGTGTGTGTGTACACACACACACACACACACACGTCATGTCGGCTTGTGGTTCAGTTTTTTATGAGCTGTGGCTCGAAGCAGGATTTTGTGTACAACTTCAGAGGAGGCACACATGCAGCCAGAACACACACACACACACACACACACACACACACACACACACACACACACACACGTTTACAGATGTTTAGATGTCTATAGATGATATAGATGTTTACAGATGATGTTTCAGATTTCAGTGACATTGAAAAGAGTTTTGTTCTTTGAATTGAATGATTTATCTGCCGATCACAGGATCTTATGACAGAGACTGGAACGTGTGATTGAAAGAACCGATGGTTTAAGTCAGACTTATCAGACAGATCCCAGCTTGATCATGTTAATAATGACTCTTCCATAAATGCAGGAGTTAGTCCTGGAGTTCCACAGGGTTCTGTGCTGGGACCACATAAATGTCCGCTGTTACACAGACGACACCCCGCTGTATTTATCTATGAACCAGACGAGACCAATCAGGTGGTCCAACTTCAGGCATCACTTAAAGACAAAGACCTGGAGCTGGTTTCACAGAGACAACAACAAACAGTCAGAATTCAGACTGACTGAGTCTGAATTCAGAGATTTAGTTCTTGACTATCTTAAACCGGACTGTGGTGCAATGAATTCTGGGTAAATTAAGACTTTTTTTTAAATATAAAAAAGGGTCGACCGAGGAACCACATCCAACCACTGAGCTCTGTTTGAACAGTTTGTCTTTAGGAAGAATTCAACAGTTACAGGATGTTTTATTTTGAAAATTCAGCAAAGACTGAAACAATAAAAAGAAATACTCTTTCTTTTCTCTTTGCTCTCTCCATAACAATGTCAGCAAACCACAGTATGAGCCATGCTGGTCAGCACAGGTGTCACTGATTGTTACCATGGTAACACTGGACTTAGACCCGAGTTAGTCTGAAGGTGTTTCTGTAATGAGTCAGTCTGTATTTTGCTCTCCAGTTCAGGTCAGCTTGTATTTACTTTAATATTTCCATGTTGTGTTAAACAGCAGTAAACAGTCTGTTCTTCACGCGACCTTCATCTCCAACAGCCCCCCCTTCTCTCAGGTGCCAGCCCCCCCCCCCCCACCTCCCATCTGCTGCAGGACTCGCTGTCCTCCAGGTTCAGCTGAGTCCTGGCAGCGGCCCCTGACTCCCGCCGAGCAGGGACCGATTTAGCCTCTCCATTTTTGGAGGAGGAATAGGTGGGGGTGGGGGGGTGTTTGGTTGTTCTGCTGGCCTCAGCCAAAACCTATGAGTCAGTCAGGACTGGGATTTTCAGCACTAAGCCGCCCCCCCCTCCCTTTATTGGCCGATTCATTTCAGCTTCATAAAGACTCAGATTTCCCTTCAGGCTCCGACTGGAAACTGATTTCTGTCTGATGCTGTAAACAGGGTGACATTAATATACAGCTCACCAAACCCATCACACCTGGTCTGAGCCCGTCCCTGCCTGTTGTTACTGTAGTCCAAACAACAGTCCAGGACCAGGGTCTGGACTGAACCCAATTAAGCCTCTTAGTCCCGTAGGAGTGTGTACTTCAAAATATCACCTTGTCTTCAGAGCATCATTACTCCGCGACCGATTGAGTCGGAGACGCGACATTTTTTCTCCTTAAACTAGAGAATCGTTGTTTTCTAACGAGCTCCTGTTCATCTGTGTGAGTCTCTGACTTCCATCAATACACTAACATTAAAGTCAGGAAATATTTGGAGTAGTTTCACCATTTGTCTGGAGCAGGGGTCGGGAACCTTTTTGACTCAGAGAGCCATGAAAGCAAAATATTTGGAAATTTATTTCAGTGAGAGCCATATAATATATTTTTACATTCGACGAGATGTTATTCCTCTTGCAATGATAAATTTGTTATTAGTATTATTATATTATTATACAGAGAGGCTGTTGTAAGTGTTTTTGTGACGCTTGTGTGAGGAAATGTGTCCGTCAGAGCTTAGTGTTAGCATTGAACCAGGCGGAGCCAATCGTCACTCAGCGTCTGTACGGTGACACCTGAGACGACACGCCTCCATGAGGTGAGGTGCGTTTGATTCACTGACCGTCAGGTGCTGGAACAGCCAGGCTCTCAGGATGTTGGTGGCCACTTTGGGGAAGATCCCTCTCTTCTTGTTGTGCAGTTTGTCTCTGTCGGGGTCGTCGTCATCGCTGGGCGACGCCACGCCGTTATCCAGACAGTCACCTGACCAACGACACGCAGAGGAGAAAACACACCACTGAACTTTTTCATTTCCAAATTTACCAAACGTCGGTGACCAACTCTGAACGTTTCTGAAAACTTTGACCACGCCCCCATCACATGATCAGGAAGTGAATCCAAACAGAATCATCACTATGCGTTTACAGGAGGTGGAGACACTTGATTCACACGTTCATCATCAGTCTATAAACATGTAATAACTGTTTCCTTACAAACGTGATGAGGAAGTGATCAGATGAAAACAGCTGACGCTTCTGTCGTTCACATTTGCCTCTGCTAGCTGAAGCTAGCTGACGTTAGCACATACATGAGGCCCAGGCTCCGAGCGAACACATGCCTTCACTCATGGACTCTCCCAGTTGATGAGTGGAATCAAACCGGTGACCCTGCTGTCACGAGCCGGCCCGCCCCGCTCTGTGACCCTCCCTGTGCCCCCCTGCCCCCCCGCAGGTTCTGGATGGTGGTGAATACTGCAGCATTTCAACTGAAAACCACTAAAAGCTGCGGCCTGGTGTTTTTACTGCTCTCTCTCTGCCTGTTTAATGAGCCTCATTTTCTCCTCAGTGTTTTTAACAGCGCCGGGCCAAGGTTAGGGCGACGGTCCCTGGCAGCCTGCGGCGGGTGCTCCGGGTCCGCCGTCCAGCCCAGAGGCGGCGGTGGACCGGGGCCTCGCTCCGCCTCAACAGAGGCAGGACTCTGCCGAGCGGCGGAGCCTGAGAAGGTGGAAATAATCATAAAAATGATGCGTAACTCCATAAACAAGCTCTCAGCCTCATTAGGGCGAACCGCGAGCTCCCCGGGGCTGATTTACACCCCCACCCCCTCCACCACACTCCCGCTCTCTCCTCAGCTCCTAGGGGAGAGAGAGGGGAGAGAGAGGGGAGAGAGGTCCACCTCAACCCGCTAATGGTCTGTGACGACTCGGCTTCACAACAACCCGTGGACTCCAGGAGGGGAGGGGCGCCGCAGAGGAGGAGGACTTACAGTGAAATGACTTCCTGTACTTAGTGTCAGTTTTTTTTCTCTTTAGAAAACACAGCGCTGAAAAGAAAAACTGAAGACAACATATCTCAGGGGACTTTTCTAATATTTGAAACGTATCAATTATATCAAGTTGTTTTGTTTTTCTGCTTTTTTTCCATTTCACTTAGTGATTTGCAGTTTCGAGCGAGTTCTTGCTTGAACAATGTTAATGACATTTATGGATAAAGACGTTTCCTACAGGTCGACCTCTGCCGTCTCTCTCGCTCCTCCGTCACTGTTTGAACAAATCTTTATTATCCGTGGTCAGCTGGAGAGAGACGGAGCAAGAGACTCTTTATTTTCCACCACGGACCATTTGTCTTCTGCTGGCGATGGTGGGAGGGGTCCGATGAATAACAGCCAATCCGACGCTCTAATGAAGGTGACCTCACCGCTGAGGTCGGTGCTGGAGACGTCAACACGACACCTCCTGCGGTGAGAGCTTAACTTATAGGCGGCCAAAAGTATGTGGACACCGTGACGGTGTAACAGCTTCCTCTGGCTTCAGTCTGAGCAGATGTTGAACCGGCTGATGTGACAGCGGTGAGGTCCACACGGATTCTGACTCGGTGCTGGATCGGGTTCAGGTCAGGGACCAGAAGAACTGTTTGCTTCCGTTTCTAGTCTTTATGCTAAGCTAGGCTAATCACATCCTGACTCCAGCTCTGTGGTTGTGTGATTCTCGTTTGGCTGACAGAGAAAGCCCATTCAAAGTGACAATATTATGGTCTGTCTGTTCTCCAGGATGACAAATTAACGCCGAGCTCGGGCCAAACCTGCTGCGGAGTCGGGCTGCAGTCGGCAGATGTCATGTGAAGTCCTGCTGCACCGAGGCTCCTCAGTAAAGTCACAGAAATCTCTGATTCGCCAGGTGTGGCTCCGGCGCAGAGGTCGACCGCTGAGCTGGTCGAGTGCGAGTGATGTTTAAAGCTGCAGCAGCCTGTGGACTGGCTGCATGTCCATCCAGTCACACACCAACAATCTGACCCACACAGGTGAAAACAGACATATCATCTGTCACTGTTGTCCATGGATTAGTCAGATAATTGATCCATCAACTGATCAAATAAAAAAACAAAACATTGCCAACAATTCTGATAATCAATCAGATCATCAATCATTTTTAAAGAAAAATGACAGAAACTTATCTTGTGTAAATAAAGATGGCCGTCGCCTCTGTGACAAAAGCCACAGGTTTCTGCTCCACCGTTGCCATCTGGGCAGTGTCTGACTCCGCCCCCTAACTCCCAGTTAATCCAAAAATTGACAAAGAGGAGGGGCCTGTGTGGAGCTGAGACTTTGGTTCCTGCCAGCAAGGATACGCCCCCATTAGCATCGTTAACGTCTTGCTCAACGGCTAACCAAAGTCCAGTTCATTTGATGGCTAATTAGCTTGTTAACAGTTAAGCTAACAAGCCAGGCATGGGGGGCGCAGACACTGATACCTGCTAATTGGTGCTAACATATAAATAAAATAATACTAGAGTTTGATTCTTCTGTAAAAACAGGAGCTCAGACTTTCTCATGTTCTGTTAGTCAGTTAACTATGACAACACCCACCTGTCAGTCAAAGAGGCCACGCCCTCAATCCTCCATAACTTTAGTCCTTAATAAAATGTAAACAGGGGACTAAGCATCAAATCAATCACTTTCTCAGGCAGCAAAACTTTTTTCTCCAGATGAAAAACACGTCAGCAATCAGAGAGTGATTCTATTATTTTTATTGCTTATTTGCTTTAATGATTCAACGTGTCCTTCTCAACCAAACCTGAAGACTTTGAATTCAGGACGTTACTGCAGAAATTCAAGTATGAAAAGCTTCAAGTGAAAGGAAACTTTGTGAGAATGAGTGTCCAGATCTTATTTATGTGTGTGTGTGTGTGTGTGTGTGTGTGTGTGTGTGTGTGTGTGTGTGTGTGTGTGTGTGTGTGTGTGTGTTTGTGTGTGTGTGTGTGGGAACATAAAGCTCTCTTTCTTCCAGCTCTGCTCAGCGTCTGTCAGCCTTCATCACTCTCTCACTCCCCCCCCCCCCCAATTAAACCCTCTACACACACACACACACACACACACACACACACACACACACACACACACACTCCAGTATTAATGCACCCCTGCATCAGTACCTTGTTCACTGCTGTTGTCGCCGCTGTGAGACGTGTGTCCACCGCTGGACGGTCCCGGCGTCCCGGCCGAGCGGATGGACGCTGCGTCGTCTTGATCTCTGCTCCATGAAATCTGCAGAGAACGACACAGAACGAGAGTCGGGCTTTAACCGGAGCGTCATCAGAGTCACACCTGAGAGGAGTCCTGTCTCCTCTGTGTGAACATTAAACCACAGAAGAAGAAGAAGAAGAAGAAGAGGTGGTTAAAAGATCCGGTTGGAGCTCAGACGATGGAACCATGTGGAGAACATGAAGTGAGGAAGGTTCAGCCTCCTCATCATCACTTCACCAATTTTCCCTCCTCAACCAGCATAAAAACCACATCACTGTCCCCACCCACACTGTGTGACTGACAGGTGATCAGAGTAGACACGCCTCCTCTGGGACCAGGAGGATTATCAGCGTACGACCCGACCGAGAGGAGGCACTTGAGAATGAAACCGGAGCTTTCGAGCCGCTGCTCAATGGTCATCCAACACTAAGCTGCTGCAGTTCACACTCTGTGGTGTTTAAAGGGTTAAAGGCTCGACAAGTGGCTGCTGGGAGTTTCACCGCTGAGGAAAACACTTTCATTTCAGCTGCTCAGGGAAACAGAGGAGTCTTCACAAGAGTGTGTGTGTGTGTGTGTGTGTGTGTGTGTGTGTGTGTGTGTGTGTGGCTCCTGCAGCTGGATCATTAAATCTATCTGCTCATATTCCAGCTTCACTTTCTGGGGATCTTTGGTAAATAAAACCTGCAGAGCCTCTTCGATCTTAAAGGGACAGTTCCTGTTATTAGACGTGTGGTTGTGTGAGGCAGTCATATCAGTGTTTTATATATATATATATATATATATATATATATCTTAAAAGACGAACACTGAAACAATCCAACATCTGTTTAAAAGAAGCTTCATGTAGAAGATTTTCCTCTTTATCTTCCCGCCAAAACACAGTTAGTTTCAGCTCTTCCTGATTCACTCAGCACCATGTAGGTGCTCGTGCGTAGGAATACGGCAGTTCAGCGGTTTAAAAAATGTAGTGCCAAAGGAAAGAGCTGTTTTGTATTTTTATGTATTTGAAGAGACATTTTATAAATGGGATCACATTCCTTTTCTTATTAGCTAACCTCTCTGTGGCTAAATGGAGAAGCTAAGCTAAACTAAGCTAAAATACCTTTTCAAATAGTTTTCTAAGTTCTATCATTTATTCATGACTGTATTTATAAATGCTTTATGTAATGAGAGATTTATCCTGTTTTTGTAAATCCATTTTTAAATCTGAAGTATTTATTGATGGATTCATTGTTCATTTATAAATTCTTTTTACGATTCCTGTTTTTAATGTTGATGTTTATGAAATGAAGGATCTGCTTCATCATCTCCCTGTTTCTCCAGATTCATCGAGCTTCAGTGACAAAGTCCCAAAAAGCAGTGAAATCTCTTTACATGTAAATAAACTGTTATTTTGCAGCTGCTTCGTGTTGAATCAACGTTTACATTTTATCTTTAGATAATGCAACTTCAGATCAGCTGAAAGTACAGAAACAATTCAACCTTCGTTAGAACCAGTGATTTAAAATCATCTGGACTCGTTCCAAACCTTGATTATTGATTATTGAATATTGTCTGATCACGTGTGAAATGATGTTTCTTACTTCTTGTCTTCAGCAAATACACAACATCATTTTAAACTGCAGCAAACAGAGATGATGTAAACAGACGAGAACAGCTGATTCACGGCGAGCTCACCTGGTCCAGGTTGTTCGATGACCTGATGAAGTCCTCGCTGTCCGATTTGTTTCCGTCTCTGTCGTCAATAACCAGATCGATCGGCATCTTCCCTTTCAGACAGCTGATGTATCGATGGCAGAAATTATCACAGAGCTCGTGAACCTGAGAATAATAATAACAGTAAGGTAAGATGACGTGACGACATGAGTGAAACATATAAAACATATAAAATAAACAGATTACAGTGGGATTTGTTCAGGATTAATCCTGGATTAGCAGCATGGCAGACATCTTTGTTCTAATCTCATTACTTCAGATTAAACAGCAGATGCTGGCTCAATCAAATTGTGATAACTAAGAAGGTCAAAGGTCACTGAGACAAACCTTCTCCAGCTCCAGGAGGTGGAAGCGCAGCACCTGTATCGACTGAATCATCTGCAAGACAAAGAACAACCAGAATAAAACTGAAGAAGAAGAGAAGTTTAGATGTTAAAAGGGTTGTTGACTTCATATGAAAATAGTTTTGGCCTGTTACACATCACGACCTGCTGCAGGACGCACCACCATCACCAAACTGTGGGGTTGTGTTGTAGTCTGGACAGAAACTGAGACCTTTGTAAACGATGAGGTCACACCCACGGTCTCTCCTGATTGGCTCTCATCAGCCTTTGCTAGCAGCTGTTGTTCACTTACATTCTCTGTTTTAATATAATCTACTTCCTGTTTACACCGGCTCACACATGCTCAGTGCAGGTGAATGGTCATGTGATGTGTGTTTTCAGGTGTGTTGGTCTGGATGAAAACGTAGTCGTGTCATACTCACCAAGTTATCCAGCTCTGGGTTTGATGAAAATAACGGCTTCTCCGATCGGATCTACACACACACACACACACACACACACACACACACACACACACACACACACACACACACACAGTTTGATGATACTGTACTAATCAATACTAATCAATATCAGTATATTAACTGACTGAACTGAAGCACAGTACACATGAATCTCATCAGATCTGAAGCACTGTCACTTAAAACCAACAGGAAGTGACAGCAGTAAAACGTTAGCTGCGTCTCAGTTCAGAGGATGACCGATGTCGTCACGGCGACCACACTGAACCTGTTCATTTCCCCTCATTACGTCAGGTGATTGGCTCACACTCATGTACCTGAGGTTCACTCACACACACGGGAAATAAACTACTAAAGACTTTCATACGTTTTCCACTTTTTAGAAACAAGATTTGATTTGAACTGATGACTGTCGGCTGTGTTTTATAATCTCAGTATCTTATGTTTTATTTTTCCTTGTGCATTATTTTTATTACAATTTCATAATTTTATTGTTTGTCATTTAAATTGTTTGTAAAGTCTTTTTTTTTTATCTGCTCATGAAAAGTTTTGATTATGTTTTAATGTAAATTCATGTCTCTGATGAAAAGGAGTGAGATTTACCTGAATAAATAAAACAAATCCCTGGTGGTCCTACATATCCCATGATTCATTGCACTCCGTTAATGAAAGTAAAGCAGAGAGTTTAATGTCAGTATTGTGTTTCAGGTCAACAGCTAATGCTACAACTGTTGAAACCAACAGACTTAAAACGAACTAGTTTTAGCGAAAAAGAAGTTACATGTTGTCAAGGTTGCTAGGCAACAGGAGCCGTGCTTTGTGACGCAACGGTAAAGGCGGGAACAGCTGGTGACACGAAGAGGAAATCCTCCGTAGACCGGACCATCTTCAGGGTCTACGAGGGACCACGTCCTCTGACCTGAGACACAGCTGTTAATAATCCGCTGAGTGTTTTTATTCCTCCGCCCGGCAACAGTCAGAGCGGCGGCCATGTTGTTTTCAGGTCATCCGTCCATCTCGTTCTCGTGGTCCCGATATCTCAGTGACACCTCGACTGAACTTCTTCACATTTAACACAAATATTCCCCTGGACTCAAGGATGAACTGAGTAGATTTTGGTGGCTAAAGGTCAAAGGTCAAAGGTCACGGTGACCTCACAAAACACTTTTTAGCCATAACTCAAGACTTGACAGTAATTACTGATATTTCTGTGACTGTGATGAACATGACGAGACCTGACACTGGTGTGAGTGGAGGGGGAGGAGTTAACCACGTTGTGCTCATCAGGCTTTTATAACGTGTACCGGACGTTTGTATTTTAGATCGTCAGTGAACAGTTTGAAGACACATGTACAGGAACTAAACGGGTGGGGGGGGGCAGCAGTTTGGCTCTACCTGTTTGGAGAAGACAGCGATGTCCTCGTTGAAGGAGTCCGAGGAGCAGACGTCTCCTCCGGCCACGCCGCTCTCCCTCGGCGTGCAGGTCGCCAGCTCACACTTCTCAAAGATCAGAGCGAGCAGCGGGAATAAAGGATGTCTGCAGGAGGAGGAGGAGGAAAAACTGTAACATGAGTTCCCAGCGGCCCTGAACGTCACAGAGAAACTCCACAACAACGATCATAAAAAGATAATTAACACTGGAGCTAAACGGAGTTCAGTTTGTCACATTTAAAAAACAGGAAGCTGAAGATCCTGAGAAGAGTCATGAAAGCGTCTGAGTCTGAACCGAGTCGTTCAGCAAGAGACAGAAACAGTCAAAGAGAAGAAGGTGCACTGAGAACATGAGCCAGTCATTATATATAAACTTTAGACCCCCCGCCCCTCTCTCTCTCTCTCTCTCTCTCAGGTGAGTTGTGGTTAATGAGGTCATCTCTGACTCAGGTAAACGTCTCTGATAGAATAAAGCTCCCAGTTCACTTCCTGTTTCAGTTATTAATGACATCAGTCTTTAAGCTACGACACTTGGTCACAGAAGAAGAGACTGAACCAGCTGCTGACACGTCACATCTCGCTGCTCGTATTTATTTTTAACATTTCTAATGCTGAACTTTTATTTTGAAAGTGTGCAGCTGCTGCTGTCTCTGTAGTAAAACAGCCGAACGATTTTTCCCGCCTCTGTCTGCAACAGCTTGTTCGTTTCCACCTCCCTGCTAACAGCGTCACCTCTTCACAGATAGTGTCTGCTCGGCTCGGCCCGGCTCGGCCCGGCTCGGCTCGGCTCGGCCCGGCTCGGCCCGGCTCGGCCTGAACACAGACGACATGAAGAAACAGTCTGTCCTCTCAGTAAACTCATCTCACCCATAAATGGCGTCCCTGTCCCTCTTGACGGCGTCCCCAGCCATGCTGCTGCTGCTGGTGTGGGTGGACTGGGTGGACTGGGAGTACTGGTGTGGAGGGTATGGACTGGTGGCGGCGGCCAGGTGAACGGCCTGCAGGGAGCGAGCAGCGGCGGCGGCGTGGTGGTGATGGTGGTGGTGGTCTCCATACACCCCCCCCACCCCCTCCAGGCCGTAGTGGGCCAGGTCTTCATACTGAAACAGAGAGAGGAGCACTGTGACCTCTGACCTCAGTGTGTGTGTGTGTGATTAATAACAGTGCTCAGATAAAAAGAAAAGATACAAAACTCGTTTCTACAGAAGCAAAGTGTTTTCATCTGTGTAGAAAGAAAGAGAGAGAGAAAGAAAGAAAGAAAAAGAAAGAAAAAGAAAAAAGAAAAAGAAAGAAAAAGAAAGAAAGAAAAAGAAAGAAAGAAAAAGAAAGAAAAAACAAAAAGAAAGAAAGAAAAAAGAAAGAAAAAGAAAGAAAGAAAGAAAAAGAAAAAAAGAAAAAGAAAGAAAGAAAGAAAGAAAGAAAGAAAGAAAGAAAGAAAGAAAGAAAGAAAGAAAGAAAGAAAGAAAGAAAGAAAGAAAGAAAGAAAGAAAGAAAGAAAGAAAGAAAGAAAGAAAGAAAGAAAGAAAGAAAGAAAGAAAGAAAGAAAGAAAGAAAAAGAAAAACAAAGAAAGAAAGAAAAACAAAGAAGAAAGAAAGAAAAAGAAAAATAGAAAGAAAAACAAAGAAAAACAAAGAAAGAAAGAAAAACAAAGAAGAAAGAAAGAAAAAGAAAAAGAAAGAAAGAAAGAAAAAAGAAAGAAAGAAAAAACAAAAAGAAAGAAAAAAAGAAAGTAAGGATAAAAAGAAGAAAGAAAGAAAGAAAAAAACAAAAAGAAAGAAAGAAAGAAAATGAAAGAAAAAAGAAAGAAAAAGCAAGAAAGAAAGAAAAATAAGCAAAAAAGAAAGAAAGAAAGAAAGAAAGAAAGAAGAGAACATGATGAACTGTAACAGAATGAAACAGCTGGTGCAGGTTTGGAGGTTTTACAGGTGTACACAGGTGTTCCTATTATTCTGTCCACTTCCTGTTTATTTCCTCTGATGTAAGAACCAGGCTGGACTCAGTGTTTTAACCTCACAAGTCACAACTGGACATTGAACAACAACAGTGCGTCTCACTCTTTAGTGTCCCCTGGAAACACTTCCCGTTGGAGGTGAGTATCTGCAGCTCGTGTTTTGTTTTCATGTGTTTTCTTCAGTGGCAGCTTGTTGAGCTTCAGGGCCACCGTACATCTGCTGGAGCATGACACACTCAACAACAACAACAAGCATGTGCAGGGGTTGTTGGTGTTGGTGTTGGTGTTGGTGTTGGTGTTGGTGTTATTGTTCTTGTTGTTGTTGGTGTTGTTGTTGGTGTTGTTGTTGGTGTTGTTCTTGTTGGTGTTGTTGTTGTTGTTGTTCTTGTTGGTGTGTATTTTCTCTCATGGGATGTTTCAGAAAAACAGTCGAAAACACAGGAGACTCTGACACACACACACTAACACACACACACACTGACACACACACACTGACGCACACACTCTGACACACACACACTAACACACAGACACACACACACTGACGCACACACTCTGACACACACACATTAACACACACACTCTGACACACACACTCTGACACACACACATTAACACACACTCTGACACACACACACTGACACACACACATTAACACACACACACAGACGCACGAACTCTGACACACACACTGACACACACACACTGACACTCACACACACATTGACACACTCACACACACACACTGACACACACACACACAGTGTGGAGAACTGATGTAAATCATCAATAAACCGCTGATCAGACAGAAAAGAATTATTAATAATAAATCTATAAAATCTTTAACATGAAAAACTGTGAAAATTAAAAACAACTTTAAAGTTTCAGGTAAAAACTAAATGAATAAAGAAACAAATGAATTTGTTTTTCAGGTCACTTCTTGTTTTTATGTGAACATGTAAAAAACAGAAACGTTTAATTTAATAATTATAATATAATAATAAAAATAATAATAAAGTCAAAGAAAATCAGTTCTAATTTCAAAATCAATTTCATGATTTTATTTAAGGATTTATTTATAGAATCTGTGTAAAATGATCAATTAAGAAAAAAGTTTAAAATTGTTTGTACATTAATTTATATAAAAATGTGTATATGAATTATGAGCAAAAATCTATTCTAATTTGATATAAATAATGTATTATATCATTATTATTATTTCCACTGTGGTTAATTAGACGAGTTAAAACTTTGACTAAAAATCTGTTTCAAAATAAAACTTTGTAAAGTCTGAAGCTTCTGTTGGTTTGTAATAATAATTATAATAATTATTATATTATTATAATCATAATAATAAAGAACAGTTTCTACTGAAACATTAGAAATGATTTTATTCATACAAACAGGTTTTATTGACGGAGCTTCATCCGCCGACACACACCGACTCACAGCCGCGAACGATGCGAGTCAAAGTGTGAACCGACGAACTGATTTTATTTTGAAGGTAAAAAGTGAATCAGAGTTTTAGAGACAGTGGCAGAAATCAGCTGATGGAATAAAATAAAAGATGTTTTGTTTATTTGACATTTGTGTCATAAACGAGCTGAGAGTGAACCGCGGAGGCCTGAAGGTCAAACACACCAATAACCCTGAAACACTTCCTCTGCACTCACTCATGATCCATACATTCTTTACATCCCAAAGATTTTTATTCATGACCACTTTATTTATTTCCCTCTGCTCACAGTGAGTTTTATTAAAGTGACTGACTGTGTTTCTGCTGCAGTTCAGCCACTGAATCACATCCAACTTCTTTTAATTAAATGTTTCGTTTTTATATTTTTCATCCTTTAATAAGAAATTAAATTTAAAAGAAAAGAAAACTGTTAAACAAAGTTTTGTTTTTTTTAAACTTCCAGGTGAAAAGTTTGATGATTATTGTGACGCGCGGGACAAAGTTCAGATCTGTGAAATTAAAAAGTTAAAAATTAAATATTAATTACCTCTAAAAAAATAACTACGTGATCTTGAATTAAAACAATTATTTTCGGAATAAAGGTTCCCGTGTTCAGTAGTTAGAAAGTTTCTCTGGGTTCAGATGAATGAAGCTTCAGTTCTGATCCACTGTCTCACTTTACTCTCTCTCTCTGGTTAAACTGGACTTTACGCACCCGTTGCGCCATCGGCCCCGACTCTCCGCCCGGACTCCAGGTGACTCCTGCGGGGCAACACACACATCCAAGTCCCGGTACCGGAACGCTGATCAGTCAGTGTCAGTCCGGCACGCGGAGAACAACGCACGGACACTGGGAGCGGCAGCAGCCGGTCCCTGCGGGCTCCGCTCCGCTCCGACCCACGGCGACAGTCCGTCCACAGCAGCACCAGCCCGGGCAGACGCTGTCCTGCTCCCGGCCTCCCGCTCCAGGCAACCGCCAAACAACCGACCGACAGACCGCTCAGTCCGCAGGCTCGAGACCGATCAGGTTACATCCAAACCGGGGGGGATCAACGACGCGGACCCGCCCGCTGCGCTCTGAGCCCGGGCCGTCTTCTGCGCGGAGCTGCGTTCAAATCCCCATCACAGCTCCAGCGGAGCGGCTTCCTCCTCCCTGCGTGCAGGCCGTCGGGTGTGAGGGGAGGGGGAGGGAAGGGGAGGAAGGGGGGAGGAGGAGAGGGGGGAGGGATAGTTTCTTTTCTCGCTTAAAGGAGCAGAGGCTCGCTGCGCGTCCCCGCAGCTTCCACAAGATGTGCGAGCGAGGGCGCGCCCCCGCGATGTGAACTGGGTGGAGGAGACAAACAGCTTAAATGAGTTTGTTTATATCGTGAAACTTTTATTTTAAGGTGGAAACAGAAAGAATAAAGTCATAAAGACATCAGACCGTCAGATACTGAAGCAGCTGCTGTATCATCATCCTCCTGTGCTTTATTCTGAAGCTCCTCCACAAACACCAGGCATGTGTTTTAATGTGAAGGGTCAGCTGGTCTGTGGTTGGTCTGTGGAGGTGTTGCGACATCTAGTGGTGGGACAGTGTAAACGCACCTGAGCGGTTCACTGACTCCATCAGCTCACGCAGCTCCGCCACCGGAGTCACTTTGTGCAATACGACTCAATACAAGAGACTTCACTCCTCACGCCCCCCCCCTCCTAACGGATGACAGTCACCCCCCCCCCCCGGCTGAGGGAGTTACGGTGAGCGTGTTGCACAGAATCTCTAAACCTTCATCTTCCTGTCAAACGTGAAACCTTTGCCCTCCCTGACCCCATCTGTTTATAAAACATCAAAAATTATGAAATTATTATCGGACGTCATCCACTCATTGTCACCACTTTTACACGTTCTGTGCATTTTATGATCAATTCACCTCATTTACATGAAGACAGCTTGTTCTCAGTTGTGTCAGCAGTGAGAGGTTTTACTCTAAACTTCAAGCTGTTTGTGAAACTGCTTCCATTTCAGGAACCCTTTCCTCAGACTGTCTGTCTTCACCAGATAAGCTCCTCCCTCTGTAGATCACATGGTCATAACACGTCAGGACACATCTGCAGTAACAGCACCTGACCACCAGGTGTCAGGAAGACACAGGTTAATGAATGAGGCCTCTGAGAGGGAGGCTTTTATTTTGAAATACACTGAGGGTGACTTTTCAGTGTAAAGTTTAATACTTCAATATAAAGTTCAGGCTCAAAGTACTACTGATACTATTACTGTTAGTACTACTACTACTACTACTACTACTACTACAACTACTACTACTATTACTACTGTTAATACTACTACTGGTAGTACTACTACTAATACTACTACTGTTAATACTACTACTGTTAGTACTACTACTAATACTACTACTACAACTACAGGTACTACAGTACTCATTACTCTACAGTTACTACAGTACTCATTACTCTACAGTTACTAGAGGTACTACAGTACTCATTACTCTACAGTTACTACAGGTACTACAGCTACTACAGTACTCATTACTCTACAGTTACTAGAGGTCCTACAGTACTCATTACTCTACAGTTACTAGAGGTCCTACAGTACTCATTACTCTACAGTTACTACAGGTACTACAGGTACTACAGTACTCATTACTCTACAGGTACTACAGTACTCATTACTCATTACTCTACAGTTACTACAGGTACTACAGTACTCATTACTCATTACTCTACAGTTACTACAGGTACTACAGTACTCATTACTCTACAGTTACTACAGTTACTACAGGTACTACAGTACTCATTACTCTACAGTTACTACAGGTACTACAGTACTCATTACTCTACAGGTACTACAGTACTCATTACTCTACAGTTACTACAGGTACTACAGTACTCATTACTCATTACTCTACAGTTACTACAGGTACTACAGTACTCATTACTCTCATTACTCTAACAGTTACTACAGGTTACTACTCATAGTACTCATTACTCTACTCATACAGATTACTACAGTATTACAGTTACTCTAACTCATTACTCTACAGTTACTACAGTACTACAGTACTTCATTACTCTTACAGTTACTACAGGTACTACAGTACTACATACTCATTTACTCTAACAGTTACTACAGGTACTACAGTACTCATTACCTACATTTAGTTACAGGTACTACAGTAATTATCTACAGGTACTACAGTACTCATTACTCTACAGTTACTATCGTGTACTACAGGACTTAACAGTACTATTATCTCTACAAGTTACTACAGGTCAGCATATGGTACTAACAGGTACATTACAGACTTCATTACTCTAGATTTACCAGAGACTACAGTACTCACAATACTCATTACTCTACAGTTACTACAGGTACTACAGTACTCATTACTCTACAGTTACTATAGTTACTACAGGTACTACAGTACTCATTACTCTACAGTTACTACAGTTACTACAGGTACTACAGTACTCATTACTCTACAGTTACTATAGTTACTGTTCTCAGGTCTGTTATATTTACTTTATATTGAGTTGTAATAATATTGTAATAAGCCTGTAGCATATGTTTGCATACACTTTCATTTATTATTATTATTATTATCGTTATCATTATTATTATATGGTAATAGCACGTGACTCTGCAGTCCTTCGGGTCTGACGTCACCCCCACCCCCCACCCCCCCACCCCGCTCCGCTCCGTCTGCGCTCAGTGAATCCAACATGGAGCGGGAGAGAGACGCGGCTCGTCCGGGGCCATCCATGCCGATACCAACGCACCATTTTCGGTCACCGCATTCCAGCCCGATCCGGCGGGGGAGGAGGTAGAGGAGGAGGAGGAAGAAGAGGAAGAGGCGTAGGAGGAGGCGGAGGAGCTGAAGGGGGAGATCGGATGCGCCTCCTCGGCTACGCTTCAGTAACTGAGGAGTGAACGGAGAAGAAGAAGGAGGAGGAGGAGGAGGTGGTGGTGTTGGAGGAGGAGGAGGAGGAGGAGGAGGAGGAGGAGAGAGACGGTTATCCGAGAATGCTCAACACACACCGGGATTAAAGAACCGGGAGAGCGGGAGAGACCCGGAGCAGACACCGCTTCTGCCACTGCCGCTGAGGGGCGAGGAAACATGAAGACACCACGCTGTGCAGCCGTGGCGGGAGTTTATTATTACCAGAGGTGAAGCGGAAAAAGATGAGGCGAGGAACAACGCGCCCAGTACGAGGAGTACCCCCCCCTCCAACCCCGTACCCCTCCCTCATGCCCCGCATATATAATAATGATCGCGGTGTAATACACGGTTGTTTTTATGACTGACGGCTGGTGACCGCCGCCGCTGAGGTCACCAAGCGAGGATGAGGAGAGAGAGAAGAGAGAAGAGGAGAGCGCATGTATCGGACAACACCTACTGAAAGTCCTCTGGCAGGTCTTTGCGTGCCTGTGTTTTGATTCAGACTTTGTGTGCCGTGTGGTGCTTTCAATAGCCAATTGAACAAGTCAGGAGAACAAAGGAGGAGGAAGAAGGGGAGGGAAACCCCAGGCGTTGGTTTCTTTAAAGTCTAATAACACTGTTTATTGCTCTGAGTGGTAAAGAGGGGATTTGGCCCCGTGTTTCCGCACCTCCGCTGCACCGTAGCAAGGTTGGCTTCCGGCTGACATGCGGTTGAGGACTCGTCCTTGGGAGGATTCGGATGGCCTAGAACTGCGTTCACAGCACGCCGCTCAGAATTCAGTGTCCTACGCGGTGTCCTCTGTCAGAATCAATTGGAGGTGGGCTTAAGCCTTTTGTGTGGTAACCTTGTTTTGGTGGAGTCAGAGTGGAGGAATCAACACTGGAGAGGTGGCTCAGATTGTTGCAGGAAAACGTCAGTTTGCGGGAAAACGGAATGATCAATTTAACAAACCACCTTTTCAGAGCCTTTTAACCACCGCTTTGGTTCAGGTGGTAACAGGTGGTCATAACTTAGGGAAGATGGTAACCTGTGTGGTATGTTCCAATCGATGGTTTTCTGAGCACATCAGAAGATGAATTCTTCTCTCCCTGTGCTGAGACCATTTGACCCTTATTTTTGAGTCTTTGATGGTCAAACTTAGTGTGGATCATGGGGTCCATCCGGGACCCGACATTCCACAGTTGCTTCCTGGAGAGGCCCATACAGCTACTTTGCCTGGGCTACGTCTGTTGTCTGTGGTTTAGGGGGGCAGCGAAGAGCTCTTTGGTTTAGATGATAGGGAAAGATTGGTGGTTTTGGTTGTAAAGAGTGTAAGTAAATATTTGCGTGTGAAGTCACTGTGACTTTTTTCTGTATTAGAAACCAAGAGCCAGGAACTTCCGCAAACCTGAAGAATTAAGTGCTGGTGAAGAGTCCTGAACAGAAACCACCAGACAGTTTTAATACTGGCTGGGAGTCACTACAAGTGGATGTTGTTCTGCAACGCATGCAGGGTATTGGCGTGGGTGAAGAAACGCAATTCAATCATCATTGAAATACATTTTACTGATATCAACATTTGCACCTTACCCTGATTCATTGCATAAACTCAAGCTTTCTATCATATTTAGATCAAACCGCCACCTGATTAGCAAACATTTTCTTCAAAGATATTTGCTCGTTTTGCCAACATTAAGTTGTATGTCAAGAATGAATTTCCAGCTGACAGAGTTGCCAATTGGATTATAGCTTTTATGGGGTCTCACTTTCATGATGACTTTAAATTCTTTCCATTGTTATATCTCCATTCTTTTCTTCTCCATATCCTCACTTCTCTGTGGTTCCCAAAATAGGCCTATATGCTGGTGTTAAACTTAATATAAACTCTTTTGCAACCACTGTTTTTCTCATCTTTTAAAGGTCCCGCATTTTTACCACTTCTCCTGTGATTTTTCGGCCTCCCGAGAGAAGGAGGTGGAGGAGGTGGAGGAGGGGAAGGGGTGGAGAGGTTGGTTGCGGCTGGGAGGAGAGACATGTGCAGCCTCCTGCAGATGTGATGATGGGGGGGCAGTGTGCATCATGACGGTCTGGACAGAGCAGACAGAGGAGCATCCCTCCATCCCTCCATCTCTCCTTCCATCCCTCCTTCCGTCCCTCCACCCGTTTGTCCTTCATTCATAAAACAGAGGCGAG